TTGATTCAATTTTTAGAAATATTAAAGTACATTAAAAATAGATTAAATAAACCTTATAACAATTAGAAAGTTATTGACAGAACAATGCATTTGATGTATAAATCTTCAGTATATTGTTACTCTTGTTATTATAGTTTTTCGATTTAAGTTTCGACAAAAATACATTTATAATTTTCTCATATTTTGTAGTGTACAAACACTTGTATTGGTGAATTATCAAGATTCTTTATCACAAAAGAAATTATCAGAGGTTAACACGTGCAAACACGAGTTAGGCACGTGGACACGGACGACGAAGAAACGTCAAGTGTAGTAACATTGATAGTGAAGTGGTTTATCTTATTGGGCCTTTTTCCGGGCTTTTAGAATTAATATGTAACCCAAGCCCATACCGCACCAGAACTCTGTAACTTGTCTTTTTGACCGTTGGATCTTAAAGATGGTGAAACCAATCAGTCAACCCTAAACCATGCTCCTCTCCCGTTGACCGTGAAGTGTATCACACTCACTTACCTCTTCTTCGTCACACATATCACACTACTAACCACCGGTAGCTCCACACTCCTTAATTCCTTAATTAATTCTAATGAAAATTAAATAAAATCTTTCCTATATAAAAAAACATTTTACTTGCAACAAATACAAAAGAGAGTGCAAGAAGAAAAACAGAGCAAATCCTTTATTTATTACATTATTATTATTACTCTGTTTCTCCCCTGTTTACTTACTCTGTTTCTGCTCTGTTTTTTAGCTTTAACACAAGACAAAGAGAAGATGGTTGCAGTAGAAAGAGTTGAGAGTTTAGCAATGAGCGGAATCAAATCGATCCCGAAAGAATACATACGTCCCAAAGAAGAGCTCGAGAGCATCAACGATGTTTTTCAAGAAGAGAAGAAAGAAGACGGTCCTCAAGTTCCAACAATCGATCTACAAAACATCGAATCGGAAGATCAAAAGAACCGTGAGAAATGCGTAGAGGATCTTAAGAAAGCGGCTTTAGATTGGGGAGTGATGCATTTGATCAACCATGGAATCCCTATTGATCTAATGGAGCGTGTGAAGAAAACCGGAGAAGAGTTTTTCGGTTTATCCGTAGAAGAGAAGGAGAAGTATGCAAACGATCAAGCCTCCGGGAAAATTCAAGGGTATGGAAGTAAATTGGCGAACAACGCGAGTGGGCAACTCGAATGGGAAGATTACTTCTTCCATCTTGTTTATCCTGAAGACAAGAGAGATCTAACTCTTTGGCCTAAGACACCAAGTGATTACATGTAAGTTTTAAGAAACTCAAATCTTGTTTTGGTTTTATATAATCTTTTTATTAACGTTTTTGGATGATTGTTGTAGAGAAGCGACGAGTGAATATGCGAAATGTCTTCGTCTGCTAGCAACAAAGGTCTTCAAGGCTCTCTCGATCGGTCTAGGCTTAGAGCCAGACCGTCTAGAGAAAGAAGTGGGTGGTTTAGAAGAGCTTCTTCTACAGATGAAGATTAACTATTACCCAAAATGCCCTCAGCCTGAGCTAGCACTCGGCGTGGAAGCTCACACCGATGTAAGCGCTTTAACCTTCATCCTACACAACATGGTTCCTGGTTTACAGCTATTCTACGAGGGAAAATGGGTCACTGCAAAATGTGTTCCTGATTCGATTGTGATGCACATTGGAGATACGTTAGAGATTCTTAGTAATGGGAAGTATAAGAGTATACTTCACCGCGGGTTGGTGAATAAGGAGAAAGTTAGGATTTCTTGGGCTGTGTTTTGTGAGCCACCAAAGGATAAGATTGTTCTTAAGCCGTTGCCGGAAATGGTGAGTGATGAATCTCCGGCTAAGTTTCCTCCAAGGACATTTGCTCAACATATCGAGCATAAGTTGTTTAGGAAGGAACAAGAAGAATTGGTGCCCGAGAAAAAGGATTAATTAAGTTTGTGTCTCTTTATGTAAAACTCTTGTTTGAGTTTCTCTTGTCTCTCTTGTGTCTGTGTCTTCATCTTGTATTTCATGCGTGAATCTTATAGTAACAGAGAAAGAACGATAGCTCTATGAACCATATGTTGTATTAAAAGAGCTTGAGAGTATTTCTGATTTACATTTCCAGTTTTTTTTGTTTTTAATCTTCCTTTTTTATGTTACTAAATGTAATAAGAGATGCCGAAGAAAAGCATAGAGAGAGGGAGATGCAAGAGAACTTATGGCCTTATTGAAGAATCCGGTTTTGCTTTGCTTTCTTCTTTTTTCCTTCGTCGATTTGCTTTCTTCTTCTTCCTTTGTCTCCAAGAGAAAATTGGTCTACTTTTTTTTGGCTTCCAAAATGTTAGCTTTTGCGTTGAAGGGTTTTTGTGTTTATACCCACAAGATCAGACTGAGAAGAGAACCAATTATGAATGTACAAATGGTGATTCCATCAGCGAATGCCTAAGCTCCTATCAAATTAGAGAACAACAATCAAATTAAACATCTCTGTGATTGATCCAATGCATATTGGTAAGATAGTGGTTGCGTAAGTGACTTCATTAGCTTACCGTGTACTGGTCCATTGCTGGTTTGTTTCAGGAATTATTCCGCCATTACCGAATTGTATCTGTTGTCCAGCTGGTTTTCCAGCTGCCATTCTTGTTATCTGCAGTGGATCGAGCGTATCAATTTCAAGAAATTAAGAATAGTCTGTTATGAGTGGTTGCAGGATCTTTATAAAGATTTTAGTGCTTACTTCATTCCCTGCTTGGAAAGAGTTAACTCTATTTTCCTTTAAGCCCTTATACCAAGAAAATATTGCAAGTCAATCATTAGACATGGAAATTGGAC